AAACAAGTGAGCTATTTAAATATTTGACAAGTAAAACATCACCCTGAAAGATATTTGGTCTATCTCTCCATCATCGAATGGCGTATTTATGTTATCGGACTATCCTTTGCTTTGTTCCTTCGTTATTCAGGTATAGAATCACATCTGTCAAGGATTTCATGAAAACTAATTAATTATGAATAATCGAAGTGGTTGTCATAGCGTTCTCCTATTTCCTATTTCAGCAACTAGAAACTACGAGCTGTTACAAACATTAAAGATAGTCGTGGCATTTATTGGACTGGGACAGTTGGCATCAACGGTGATCTATTTGTCAACACTTTTCTACGATTTTTCCGAAATGACAGCATTTTACATAGGATGCTACGCGGGAATATTTGTTAATTTAAGCATTTCATGCAATTGGTTCTTCTATTATTGGAGAAGGTAAAAACTGATCTTATGGAACATCAAAAGAAATATTATTTTTATCGTTGAAATATTTTGTCCTAGAAGTACTTGGTTAGTTCTGTAGCTGTGAACATTAAAAATGTTATTGCAGTACGGAATATCGGAACGAATTTAAAAAGCAACTCAGGAAATTTCCATGCTTAGAGAATGTCATACCGCTGGAACCAAAATCTACAATAAAGAGGGTGACGACGGTTCACCGATAGAACTTCACGGTAGAGCTTCTGAGTATTTTGTTTCAACGGTATCCATGTGGAATGGCAATGAAGAACCAGAGATTAGTTGGGAATTGACAGTAGCTGTTATTATCGCCTTTCATAATCTAATTGGGTCCTCACGTAACTTTTTTGGTCGATCCTCGAAGTTTGGTTGAATTAAGAGTTATTTTTGCAATAAAACCGACAAATCTCAACAGCAAAAATCAGAGGAACAAGATGAGACTTCCTGCACAAATTGTAATATCATGGAATGCACGTTTTAGGCAATCTTTTACATTTCTATTCTATAAGCAATTTCTATTTTAAGTAGCAGTAAATAAATTTGGAGTATAATGTGAAAACATAACAATGCTTACGAAATGACGACCAAAACAACTGTAGTATTTTAAATTCACTGCTCAGTACTTATAACAAAAAAAGCAAAGCATAACTGCGTCACATGGAAGTATTGAGCGTTTACGAAGATATGTAAGGTATTGTACAATAAGTTAGCATACTTCCCTATAATACGTCTTCATTCTTTTTGTTCTTGCAAACAAGTGCATGACGCGGGATAACCCCGATTTTAATTTTGTTCTCATTTTATCATCTGTATGTCGCAAGTGCTGCGAATTTCGAATATCGCGAAGGTCCAAATGAAATAAAATGATTAAATAAACCAATGTACAAATCAATCACACAAACTGTAACAATGTCATGAGTCATTTAACCAATCTTACATTCCTCAAATTCATTGTTTCATGCGTTTTTCTTTGTTATCTTTATCTGAGTGAACATCCTTTCCTTTTTTATGGCAACAAAGCACACTCATAAGCTAAATTTCTTTGTCTGAGAACCAATCTTAATTGCAATGCTTAATGTTGCAAACAGAGCCTTTTGTTGTAATCGGATTTTAATAGTTTTTCTTTATCCAAAGGAAAATCTGATGTTTGTTATGAACCACTCCCACCAAATATGCTCTTTGCATTAGTTAAAATTGTATATATACTCAAGGTATATATACTCAAGCTATAACTAGAAAAGGATCATTTTCCTTTTCAAACACTCAACCAAGGACCGCATCGTACATTGTATCCTCTACTCTCTTTGATATTTTTACTACTATCCTCTGCGTTACTATGACCTACTATCCTCTCTGAATTAATAACTTCCTCCTGAACCGAACGAAGAATACCTTCTCAGAGAATTCGTCTGTGCCTAAGAACAAACCCTTCCAAATCAAACCGGACAAACCAAAAACTTTTATCTATTTCTCCTACAGTAAGGGTTAATAATATCCCTTCTATCTTTTTGTATGTGTATAGCCATGGTTATGTGTAGCACGGGTATAACAGTGGTCACTCTTTCATAGAAAATCCGCATTAACATTCCCTTCCAGCTCGTGGCACCAAAAAAATTTTTGTCGGGAAAGTTAATCTGTTTAACTCTTTTCTCAACGATTTTGACTTATTCGGGATGTAATATTGTTCTTCACAATATTATTAGTTAACAACAAAAAGGATGCAAAATATATGTGTATATACTACATAATAAATTGGTAAGAGTTATGCAAAACTCAGTGATAAGTGAGTTATACAAAAAACAAGCAATATAATCAACAGATTCCTTGTCGTTGCCCTCGATAATAATTTGACTGTCAGTTAGTTGCTAGGTCGTTCATTTGGGGGTATGTTACGGGAAATATATTTAGCGAATAGCAAGAATATCGTAGTTTGTTGTCCAATGGTGGCGGATATGTGAAAATATCGCTGTTTATGGTTCAATCGTGAAGAATAAGCGAAGAGGATGTCTCGTCTGTTCGACTGTAAAAACTGGTCTGTCTCGGGATTTTTTCATGTATATGTTTATACATAGGGATTAGGGTATATATGTATATACATAGGGATTGTTTTGTGACCTTCATCGGGGGCTATCATGGAGTTATGGCTGCTCTTCGACATCGTCCATTATGTCGGTACAATGGATATCATTGTCTATAATGTAGATACTGAGATGTCTTTGTGTTATGCTGTCCATCGTTAGCTTGTATTCTTTTTATCGCTTTAGTTTTACAAGATTTCATCACCTTGTCTGTTAAATATTGTAGAAATTTTGTTTGGATGTAATTTTAACCTCGGTAATTTCGGGAAGAATACGTCTCCATTCTTTCCTTTTTGTTCTTGCAAACAAGCGCATGATGCGGGACAACTCAGATGATAAAATAATCCCGTGAAACAAAATTTAAATCACTTTGTGGCAGGGGTTAATATACAGGGTATGTATGTATAGTTGGGGTTATGTGTTGCAAGGCTATAACGGTGGTCACTGCTGCCTAGAAATTCTGCATTGTGGTGATTGTATTTCGTTTTTCTCTTCATGAACATGAATAGAAGTCGAGGAATCTGAACACTATACCGGATACACAAAATTTCTTGAAAAACAGCAAAGAATATCAGAAAAAAATGACATTTACAGAGGAAATTTATCGTATTAAGCAGAGATAGTGTTGACAGGCGAGAAAAGATAATTATTAAACTTTCCTGTCGTGAAAACGAAGCC